TACATTTGTGTACACTTCTGTGGTTCCGTGTAGAAATAAATTCATAAGACCAATTTAAAAGTTCACAAGGTTTCAGGGGGAAAAAAAAAAAAGAAATTGTTTTTGTCTGATTACTTGCTTATTCCGCTTGTCTGTATTTTATGTTTAGCTCACAATAATTATCCCGCACTTTGAACAGAGATCTGGAAACACTGCTCCCCTTTGCAACTTTGACTGAATGAATAAAAGCTGTGTGTAATATGTGTGATCTGGACCGTGAGCAAGCGCATCTGTGTTGAATTAGACTTTCATTACTATAACTCATAGTTTTAGATCTGCTCTTAAATACGCTCGAGCATGGCACTGGAATCACTGCTTGACCCGTAATCATTGTTTTTCCCATCTAAAATGTAATGTTTTACAAGTTAATGTGTGATTATTTATGACTAGGAGCTACTGATGTGTCTGTTCATGGTGAGAATTTTATGCTATACTCTACAGCACATTCTTTTTTTTTTCTTTTGTTCCGCTTGTGGCTGCTTTCATGTGTTAAAATGTCTTCAATAGATGCGCCATCTGTTCGGATTGGGCACAATGATGGATGATGAATGTTCATGATTAAAAAAAAATACAGTATATCACATTTCATTGTAATTACTTTTATTCCCCATGTATAGGAGTTGACATTTAAAAAAAAAAATTTCAAGAAGTGTTAGCTCAGATTTCAAAAAGCATAGTCATGTGCGAGGTTAGGGCAGTTAAGTATTGCCTGTATATGGATGGATACTAATCACTAATCATGAGTTATTAGCCATTGTTTGGTTAGGTGCATGTGGAATTAAAAAAAAAAAAAAAGCAAATGTACCCATAGGATTTGAATTGCCGTGTGAACTATGTCTGATATACCCCCCCACCCCCCTTTCTGTCGCTTGGTCAACAGAATAAGAGTGTTGCTCATTTGGGACTCTCTTCCATTTTCATAGCTCCGTTACAGGCTGAGCTGCACCGTACATTGCTGCCTTTTTTTGCTAACGGCTCCTGACTTTCCACACCACATCCTTCACATTAATACTCGTATTCTTGATCTGAAGTTTGTTCGATTCTGAGTCACACAGTCGTCTGGCTTTCATTATCCTGTCACACTTACAGTATTTTCCAACTTCAGCTGCACATGTACCTCTGTGTTGCCACTGCACATGTTGATATTCACAGCAAGTGTTGGCTTACTGTCTAACAGCTGCCTCGTAAACATGCCGTACTGCCATGCTTGGGTTTTAATGCAAAGACCATGATGCGCTCTGTGTGGATGTATTTAATAAACTGCTGCTGAATTGTACAACCGATCATGAGCCATCATGACTCTCACTGCTTAATCCATGGATGCATGCTGACAGTCATGCAACCTAAAGGCTCTTTGTAATAGATCCAGCTTATGTGTTTTAATGGCATTAACATGGTATGGTGCTTCATGCACTGAATTAACTGTCACAAGAATAAAAATGGAGGGAAAAATAATGTCATAAATTTGCGTGCACCAAAAATACCACATGTATGACGTTTAAATTAAAGCCATCGATCAATGTGTAGAGCTTATTAATTTCCCCCACCCTCACGCCTCCACCTACGCAGCCACAGAGCTTGCCAGCTACTGTGAATTGGTACAGGGAGTGGAAAAGGCACGAAGAAGGATCTCGCTGGAAGAAGGCCTCGGAGGAAGCTATTAAAAAGTGCAAGAAACACAAATAAACATGGCTTTTACTGCACGCAGACGCTGAGGCCCAGAGTCTGGTTTTTCAAGCTGTACGGCAAGACACATGTGGCTGTGTTGTTGATGTGCCAGTCGCTCGCTGGCACTTGGGATTTTATTGCTCTCCAGAACAAGAGGTTAACACAGTCGCAGGCTCCGGGCTGCAATTTTGCTATCCACATGTCAAGCTAAAATTGTATTCGAGGTCCTGATTATTTCACTTAATTATCAAATTCGGTTTACTAGAAAGTCCGACGCTGCTGTTAAGTTTCATCGGCCGGATCACTTCCTCATTTGTTTTCATCATAGTGTACTTCTGTCGAGGTTATTTAAGCAAAATAGCACAAGCAAGAGTGTGGTTCTCCTGCCTGTATAACCACGTGATTGCGAGTGTAATATTGCTTTGATCAGTCCATAAAGGATTTTGAAGGGGGGTTTTGTTTGTGATTGTTTGGCCAAAAATGCTTGATTTTGCTGCAGCTTTTTTCAAAATTTGCGAGTTGGAGTTTTTTTGTGCTTTTTTTCGCATAAAACTACTCGAATTTGTGAAATTATAACTGCAGGAAATCTTTCGCAATGATATTGTTGGTAAATGAGACCTTTAAACTGTACTCATGTTCGACGCACGAACTTGAGTACCTGAATGCGCGTTGTAATGACGTCACATGACTCGTCTCGGCCAAAATCGGTGGTAATGTTGAAAAATTGCAAGCTCCTCCAAATACTGCATAGTTTGGTTGATTTTTTTCTTTAATTTCTGCAATCGCAAAAATGTGGAGGGGTGGTTTTAAACAGACTTATATATGACAAATTGATATTGAGTACACATCCATTCATTCCTTTTTCGTACCGCTTATCCTACACAGGGTCTTGCGGGGCTTGGAGCTTATCCCAGGGGACTTGGGGCACAAGCCGGAGGACTCCTGGATGGTGTGCGAACCTATTGTACACATTCACACACTACGGACAATTTAGAGATGCCAATCAGCCTACAGCGCATGTCTTTGGATTGGGCGAGAAAACCGGAGTATCTGGTGGAAAGCCCCGGAGAACAGGAAGAACACGCAAAGTCCGCGCACACAGGGCATAGACGGGAATCGAACCCCCATTCCTGGAGACTGGAATACATCCTTGATTTGAAGCTAATCCATTGTAGTCCATCTAATCGTCATCCATTATTTTTTCCCCTCAATAATCTTCTTACATGAGTTCACTTTTTTCTTTTTTTTCAAATTAAAGGTGACATTCTATGAATAATGCCTCTACTTCCTTTTGCCTTCTAAATCATGTGCACCTCAGGCAATGCCCTGTGACTTAATGCACAGGAACCTCCATCTATAGACAAGAAGACATCTATAGACTCAATCGTTTATAAACGTAGACACATCACTTCCCCAGGCAACTCTTAATAGATTCTCCAGCGTCTGTGATGAGAGAAGGAACGAGGGGATACGTCATAGCTGCTCATAACCGTTCTATATTGGCGCGTTTACGGACATGGCCTTTGGATGTCCCTTCCACCATTTCTCTTCGGTGCACTTCTGGCAATTGCATGAATAATTCCCATATTTAATCAATGTCCAGTGATGCTTTCATACATATTTTCTCTCTGCCAATGTATTTTTTTTTTTTTTGCAATATTTTCTAAAAAAGTGATTATAATATATCACGTCACTGATAAAAACATTAAATAGATTTATTACCGGAATTCAGTTCAATCATCACAACATATCATTGCTAATAAATGCACAGCTCTGGGATGCGGTGACCTTGTCTAACTTCTCAAACATCACCTCCATGTTGTTTATGAGAGTGGTATGCAATGTATAAGTGTTATTCTGATGGGTTTTAGACTATTATATTATTTTATTATTTGTCAGGGTTGGGCCCCCCCCTTCCTCCGGGAGGAAAAAGTTCTCACCCAAGATTTGACGGTACATGGCCCCATCCATCGTCCCTTTTGATACGGTGAAATTCTCCTTTCCCCTTAGCAGAAAAACACCCCCAAAGCACAATGTTTCCACCTCCATGTTTGATGGTGGGGATGGTGTTCTTGGGGTCATAGGCAGCATTCCTCAGCGAATTGAGTTGATGCCAAAGAGCTCCATTTTGGTCTCATCTGACCACAACACTTTCACCCAGTTGTCCTCTGAATCATTCAGATGTTCATTGGCAAACTTCAGACGGACATGTATATGGGCTTTCTTGAGCAGGGGGACCTTGCGGGCGCTGAAGGATTTCAGTCCTTCACGGCGTAGTGTGTTACCAATTGTTTTCTTGGTGACTATGGTCTCAGCTGCCTTGAGATCATTGACAAGATCCTACCATGTAGTTCTGGGCTGATTCCTCACTGTTCTCATGATCATTGCAACTCCACGAGGTGAGATCTTGCATGGAGCCCCAGGCCGAGGGAGATTGACAGTTCTTTTGTGTTTCTTTCATTTGCGAATAATCACACCAACTGTTGTCACCTTCTCACCAAGCTGCTTCGCAATGGTCTTGTAGCCCATTCCAGACTTGTGTAGGTCTACAATCTTGTCCCTGACATCCTCTTGGCCATGGTGGAGAGTTTGGAATCCCTTTAAGAGTGTGCTCCTAATGTCAGCTCGTTACCTGTATAAAAGACACCTGGGAGCCAGAAATCTTTCTGATTGAGAGGAGGTCGAATACTTATTTCCCCTCATTAAAATGCAAATCAATTTATAACATTTTTGACATGTGTTTTTCTGGATTTTTTTGTTGTTATTCTGTCTCTCACTGTTCAAATAAACCTACCATTAAAATTATAGACTGATCATTTCTTTGTCAGTGGGCAAAAGTACAAAATCAGCACTTCCATAATCTTGTTGTCGCCCCTCTTTGGTCTCAATGGCATTAAATGAGTCATATTATGCATTTCACCAATAGCAACTCAGAACTATAGAATTATTTTACAACGTGAATTTTGCTTGAAAATCCTGCACCGTAGACCCGGCTTAACTCTTATTTACCTAGTGTCTTGGTGGTGACAGACTTGATATTACTTTGAGCATGATTTAAGAGAGAAAGCATAAGAAAAGATGCATTTTGTTGAGTGGTCAAAAAAATGACCTCAGTCCTCACCTGTGTATAACAGTTACATGTCCAATGGGTTACTTCAGTCTAGATACAGAACACACTCAACACTAGTATATGTTTCTCTTCAACATTTACAGCATTTGATAGATGCTCTTATCCAGTTTTACATTTATTTCTTTTATCCATTTGAGCAGCTGAGGCCCCAGCAGTGGCAGCTTGGCAGTGCTTAGGTTTGAACTCACAACCTTCTGAGCAGTAGACCAAGACCTTAACCACAGAGCTATCACTGCCCAACATATCTTTCTTTTTTTCCTCCTGTGGAACGATAAGAAAAAACATAGATCAGCAAGAGAGGGAGTGAAAGAAGGTGTTACCTACATCTAATGTCTCATTACATAACTGTCTGACTTTAGCTTGCTGGTGTGCATGTATAGCACTGGCAGCACTAATGATTTATGACAAACTAAATAGAGTGATGGAAACAGAAGGGCAGGAGATGGAAACCATCATCCTCTTAAAAAAAAAACTTCCAAAATTAAGTATACTTTCATCGTATTTCTAATGATTCACAGCAAAGAGTTTTGGAGCTTTTAAAAGGAGAATTTACAGTTGTGTTTGATCTTGGTTCCAAGTTCTGAAAGGCTTGTTACTGCGTAGCTTGCATGCTTTAGATTTGATCCATGGAGCAATTGATAATCAACTGTATTCGACCAAGCAAGAGTGAACAACTCATTAATCTGTTACCTAGTGAAATATCTAGTGTTAACTAGTGCATTAATACAGAGTAAGAGAAGTGAATAAGTATATGGATTCCTAAGAGAGGACGACTGCATAGCCATAGTCCTTGATAAAGTTTCTAATGTAGAATGCGGTATTGGCAACCTTGGCAAAAGACAGAATGCTGTTGCTGAACGTATTGGCCATGAGCTCTGTCCTTGCATAACACATAGACGATATGAAGTCTGGCTAGCGTTATTATCTTCTCTTGCCATGTTTAATACCAAGGTGACTGCATGTATTGAACAGGAGAGATAGCCTAAATGACAGGTACCCCTGCCATCCCAACACCCACCCCCACCCTTCCCCCCACCACCACCACCCCCAGAAAAAAGCTCTGGTTGTTGAGCCTGCTTGCCAAGTATGAATAAAAAACTAATTGCCTGGACCCATGATCTGCTTGTCCCAGGCGCCAAGGCTAGTGATTATTTATAGGATATCCCTAAACTCTAAAATGCTATGGTTCTTGAGAAGGCTTGAGAAAGGAAAATTGGTAAAAAGGAAAAAAAAATAAAACATGTAATGGAAGAATGATACCCATGCAAGGTATCTATTTAAATACTGCTGAAACTGCTGTAATTAGCAGTTTCCTGTTCTTCCGTTTTAAAGTGACGTGTTTGAGAATCACCTTGAAGAAACGTTTGTATAAGAAGCCAATTTCACAAGGTCAGGGTAACTTGTACAGCCATGAGAGCTTTTTAAGGACTTGTAAAAGTGGTACAGAATGTTACCCCTCATGAGCCCTGATATTGAGAAAAACTGTCATCATTTGTGTCATTTTGACCCTGTTTTCTTCTGTTAGAATCACAGTAAGACCAGGTTCTTTTGAAGAGGTGTGTTCAATTTGTTGCATAGTGCAGTATCATCTGTGTTTTCTTCAAAGTTATGTTCATATTGAAATGTATGGTTATATTTTTTGTGTGTCTTCTCAGGTTGTTCATAATGGCCTAATTTTGGAGATGGACCACCCAACTTCAGGAAGGATTGCAGTGCCAGGTTTGTCAAATCTTTAGCCTAAACCTACACATGTATCAGTGCATTATGGGTATTCTATACCTAATTAAAATGGAGAAGATTCTGTGGCAGGTCTTATGTCATTTTAATTATGTTAAGAGATTGAGGGTTCAATGGAGTATCAGTGAAGAAACTGTGAACCTGTAAAGGGCTGTTCCTTTTCCTGGAAAGTGACTCCTTCAGCCCCTTCTCTGATTACAACCCCAGCCCTCGTAGTTGCGAAGGGCGCTGATTGGACAATGATTGCGTTTCATTGTGGCACTGCTCAACACATTGATGTAAGTGAAATCAGTGCAGTAGGGAATTACATTCACTTCTGACACAAAGTCTTTAGCAGTGCTCTGCTGCAGTGCAGTGAAGGTTTTGCTTTTCAGGGTGAAACATTGTCACCACAACTGGAATACCACTTGTTTTGCCAATGGTGTGATTGCTTGTCTGTCTAGCATGGAATCTTCTCCATAATATAGTACTAGTATAACTTAGACACTAAGAGGATAGTGGTGGCTGATGGCTGGGGGGGCAGGGATGCCTTGGTGGTTAAGGCTTTGGGTTACTGATTGGAAGGTCGGGGGTTCAAGCCCCAGCACTGCTAAGCTACCACTGTTGGACCCTTGAGCAAGGCTCCTAACACCCTCTACTCCAGGGGCGCTGTATCATGGCTGACCCTGCGCTCTGACCCCAACCTCCTGACATGCTGGGGTATGCGAAGAAACAATTTCACTGTGCTGTAATGTATATGTGATCAATAAAGCCTTTCTTTATCTTTAACCCATGTCATAGTGTATAGGTATTATTCACTACGTTTTCAGGCCTGGCTCCAAAATGCCAGAACCTTTAAATTAGTGCACTACATATGTATATAGTAAAACAAGTGTAGTTATAAGTGTAGTTATAAGTGTGGGCGGCTGTGGTTCAGGTGGAAGAGCGGGTAGTCAACCAATCGTCGGGTTTTCAGTTCGATTCCCGGCCCGCATGATTCCATATGCCGAACTGTCCTTGGGCAAGACACTGAACCCCAAGTGGCTCCCGATGGCAAGCTAGTGCCTTGTGTGGCAGCTCTGCTACCATTTGTGTGAGTGAATGGGTGAATGAGACACAGTGTAAAGCGCTTTGGATAAAACGCTATATAAGTGCAGACCATTTACCAAATGCAGGACACGTGTGCAATTTTGGAACATATAGTAGTGCACTCAAAAGTCATATCTTTTGGTGTGTTTTAGTTAAGGAACCTCTTGAGGAACTGTGTATCCTGAATTTGCTACACAATTCCTTCCATTTATATCACACTTATATTGTATATGTGTTTCAATGGTTAAATCATTTCATCAAAAGCTCAGTTTTATGCTTCAAATCTTTTCCCCCTGAGTTAAACCACTAGAAGATTTCTGAATTGCAGCTAGACATTAGCATCATGGAAACATTTTGCTTTCCTGGCCATGTTGTTCTGTCTCTGAAACAAGCGTTAGTAATTACAGGGTGTACCTGACCTATGGAAAAGCACTTACTCTAAAACATGATCTAAAAAAGATTAATGAAACTAAGACTCAGGAGCTAAAACCAGCCCTGGTTCATCCATTGTAAAGTTCTTAAAATACTTCACTGTAAAGATAATCTAAAAGATTCCTGGAACGGAAATTGTGGTTATTATTAAAGACATTGTGTTTGACCTTATGTGATTGGTCAGTAACTGTTCATAAATGCATACCCTGTTATATGTTCATGTTTGGAATGCTAAAATATTTCAACCCACTTAAGAAACAACTTTTCTGTCACTCAGTATCACCTCCCAGTCAGCCATGTCCCAGACAACTTCTCACTTCAATGCTTTTGTCACCATCAGATGTGTTACATCTTTCATGTCTTGAACAATGGAATATTATTGTATTATTCTTGAAAGTAAACTCGTTTCTCATGTGGCACGGAAGTCAACCCCATGTTCTTGCATTTGACAGTCCCAGCGAGACAGTTATGTGAGCTTACCCTTTTCGTTTCTATTCCCTCACATGCAAAGCAAGCTTTTATTGGTCTACAGATAGACGGTATCGTTTTCCTACAATGTATCGATCTGACAGCTGTCCTTACACGAATCCTGACCATAAAAGCAACATTTGGTAAGGTTGGAGACAGATCTCAACCACTGGCACAAAGTTAATATCGTGTGATAATCGGTCGATGACGGAAGTTGGTGTTAGTAGATTTATGGAGGAAACAGAAGAGAAAGGAGAGGAGGTGCTTGGAAGTAGGCTGGTCTTGAGATCTGAAGAACATAAGCTGTAACTGCGGAGCACTTCTCCTGCAGTCCTTTTGTCTCAGAGAGCTTCATCATGAAACCATCATGGACTGTGGAGAGGTTGTATCAAAAGCAGATTAGCAAATTAGTGGATGTTTTTTGCCTCCTAAACACACAAACAAAGCCTGCTTGCATAGATGCTATGGGTCAAATCGTGCTAATGGTCTGTGCTTAATGTCTTCAGTGAATACACAGAAAACACTCTATGCTTGAGTTTTTCGTGGCTTGTTGCTTCAGTCCATACCCTACCCACTGGCCTTTTTGGTTCAAGTGAATTCCCATGGAAGCGTTTACTTCCTCTGTAGTTTTCATTCCGTTCCTGTGCCTTTTCCACAGTCTTCAACATAGAAGACTTTCTGCTTGTTTGGTAAAGAGTGGTCCAAAAAATTCCGAATGCTCAGAGAACTGCTGCGTGTCATCAAGTCCCCGGAGTGCTATCCTGGACAATCAGTCGAGTTCTTTGATGTCTCTGATTCTGCTGTTTGCTATTCTGTCCGTGCGCACTATGTTGACACTAACCAAACTGAATCGAGAGTGATTATGAAGAACGGCTCACGAAGGCACAAGGCAAAACCACAACAAGCACCTTTTTCCATCCCAGAGGCTCTGACCCATCAACTCGACAACATATACATCACCCTCCAGTACACACCCCGAGCCTCTAATCTTCTCCCGCTATTTGCATTGGACCAAACACCCGATCAATCCGTAAATCCAAAAGATGTTCACGCTTGTTGCAGATGTAAAGAGTGTCTTTGTTGCTTGCTTACATAGAAAGAACTTTAAGATGATTTCTCTATTTACTTGTAAGCATATGCAATGCAATTGCTTTGCCACGCTGTCCATTTCTCTCATGAGGACCACAGTCTGAATGGTGTCCATTCTTTCTTAGTGGAAACAAACAGCCCGAAAGAACACCTTCATTGTATGTCCAAGAAGAGGCAAAAGAAACAACAGTGCAATTAGGAACATTATGTAAATGGTACATGTGCATTTATATAGCACTTTTATCCAAAGCGCTTTACACTGTGTCTCATCCACCCATTCACACACACTCTCACACACACAAAAAAAAAAAAAAAAGAAAGAAAAAAAAAACGCACACACCAGCGGGCAGCCCCGGGCACGACCTAGGGGGCGGCTGCGGGGGGCGGGGGTCGCGGGGCACTCTCGGCAGGCCCAGCAGGCGGCACGGGCGCAAGGAAACAGG